CTGGCTCAAGGGTCTAGCTCATGAGTCTGGCTCATGGGTCTGGCTCATGGGTCTAGCTCATGGGTCTGGCTCATGGGTCTGGCTCATGGGTCAGGCTCATGGATCTGCTTCATGTGTCTGGCTCATGGGTCTGGCTGATGGGTCTGGCTCAAGGGTATGGCTCATGGGTCTGGCTCATGTGTCTGGCTCATGGGTCTAGCTCATGGGTCTGGCTCAGGGTTCTGGCTCATGGGTCTGGCTCATGGGTCTGGCTCAAGGGTCTGGCTCATGGGTCTGGCTCAAGGGTCTGGCTCATGGGTCTGGCTCAAGGGTCTGGCTCATGGGTCTGGCTCAAGGGTCTGGCTCATGGTTCAATCCCGTGGGTCTAGCTCATGGGTCTGGCTCATGGGTCTGGCTGAAGGGTCCAGCTCATGAGTCTTGCTCATGGGTCCGGCTCATGGGTCTGGCTCACAGGTCTGGCTCATTGGTCTGGCTCATGGGTCTGGCTCATGGTTCTGGCTCATGGGTCTGGCTGATGGGTCTGGGTCATGGGTCTTGCTCAAGGGTCTGGCTCATGGGTCTTGCTCAAGGGTCTGGCTCATGGGTCTGGCTGAAGGGTCTAGTTCATGAGTCTGGCTCATGGGTCTGGCTCATGGGTTTTGCTCATGGGTCTGGCTCATGGGTCTGACTCATGGGTTTGGCTGATGGATCTGCCTCATGTGTTTGGCTCATGTTTCTGGCTTATGGGTCAGGCTCATGGGTCTGGCTCAAAGGTCTGGCTCAAGGGTCTGGCTCATGGGTCTGGCTCATGGGTCTGGCTGATGGGTCTGGCTGATGGGTCTGGGTCGTGGGTCTGGCTCATGGGTCTGGCTCCTGGTTCTGGCTCATGGGTCTGGCTCATGGGTCTGGCTCATGGGTCTGGCTCATGGGTCTACCTCATGGGTCTGGCTCATGTGTCTGGCTCATAAGTCTGGCTCATGGGTCTGGCTGATGGGTCTGGGTCATGGGTCTGGCTGATGGGTCTGGCTCAGGGTTATGGCTCATGGGTCTGGCTCATGGGTCTGGCTCATGGTTCTGGCTCATGGTTCTGGCTGATGGGTCTGGCTCATGGGTCTGACTCATGGGTCTGGGTCATGGGTCTGGCTCATGGGTCTGGCTGATGGGTCTGGCTCATTGGTCTGGCTCATGGGTCGGGCTCCTAGTTCTGGCTCATGGGTCTGGCTGAAGGGTCTTGCTCATGGGTCTGGCTCATGGGTCTGGCTCAAGGGTCTGGGTCATGGTCTGGCTCAAGGGTCTGGCTCATGAGTCTGGCTCATGGGTCTGGCTCATGGGTTTTGCTCATGGTTCTGGCTCATGGGTCTGGCTGATGGGTCTGGGTCATGGGTCTGGCTCCTGGTTCTGGCTCATGGGTCTAGCTCATAGTTCTGCCTGATGTGTCTGGCTCATGTGTCTAGCTCACGGGTCTGGCTCATGGGTCTAGCTCAACGGTCTGTCTCATGGGTCTGGCTCATGGGTCTGGCTCAAGGGTATGGCTCATGGGTCTGGCTCATGGGTCTGGGTTATGGGTCTGGCTCATGGTTCAATCCCATGGGTCTAGCTCATGGGTCTGGCTCATGGGTCTGGCTGAAGGGTCCAGCTCATGAGTCTTGCTCATGGGTCGGGCTCATGGGTCTGGCTCACAGGTCTGGCTCATTGGTCTGGCTCATGGGTCTGGCTCATGGTTCTGGCTCATGGGTCTGGCTGATGGGTCTGGCTCATTGGTCTGGCTCATGGGTCGGGCTCCTAGTTCTGGCTCATGGGTCTGGCTCAAGGGTCTTGCTCATGGGTCTGGCTCATGGGTCTGGCTCAAGGGTCTGGGTCATGGTCTGGCTCAAGGGTCTGGCTCATGAGTCTGGCTCATGGGTCTGGCTCATGGGTTTTGCTCATGGTTCTGGCTCATGGGTCTGGCTGATGGGTCTGGGTCATGGGTCTGGCTCCTGGTTCTGGCTCATGGGTCTAGCTCATAGTTCTGCCTGATGTGTCTGGCTCATGTGTCTGGCTCACGGGTCTGGCTCATGGGTCTAGCTCAACGGTCTGTCTCATGGGTCTGGCTCATGGGTCTGGCTCAAGGGTATGGCTCATGGGTCTGGCTCATGGGTCTGGGTTATGGGTCTGTCTCATGGTTCAATCCCATGGGTCTAGCTCATGGGTCTGGCTCATGGGTCTGGCTGAAGGGTCCAGCTCATGAGTCTTGCTCATGGGTCGGGCTCATGGGTCTGGCTCACAGGTCTGGCTCATTGGTCTGGCTCATGGGTCTGGCTCATGGTTCTGGCTCATGGGTCTGGCTGATGGGTCTGGGTCATGGGTCTTGCTCAAGGGTCTGGCTCATGGGTCTTGCTCAAGGGTCTGGCTCATGGGTCTGGCTGAAGGGTCTAGTTCATGAGTCTGGCTCATGGGTCTGGCTCATGGGTTTTGCTCATGGGTCTGGCTCATGGGTCTGACTCATGGGTTTGGCTGATGGATCTGCCTCATGTGTTTGGCTCATGTTTCTGGCTTATGGGTCAGGCTCATGGGTCTGGCTTATGGGTCTGTTGTTGGAGATAGGCTGCAATTCGGTTAACACAACTTTGTGTGTTGGCACTTTGTTGGTTTTAGGGATACACAAATTTGTTAGGTTGGGTGTAGCAATGTTTTCATCCCCAACCTATCCCAACCCAATCCATCCCAAATCCCCACGATTTGGGAGGATTCCCTTGGGATTCCCTTCGATTCTCCCTTATCCCTTGCCATCCTCTCCGATGCTCGGTACTTAAGGATGTATGCTCTTGCTCATTTTAATCAATCAAGTTCTCAGTTTCTAATATGGTATCAGAGCTCATTTTTGCCTAAGCGGCTCTTGATCCTCTCGCTCCGTTGGAGCTTAGCATTTGCGTCTTACGACGCAAAGCATTTCTAGTCGCCTCAACTCAGCGCGGCGCTTCTCATCGGGCTGAGCCCGTCGCCACGCATCTGCTCGTCGCACCTGATCGGGCTGAGCCCGTCGCCACGCATCTGCTCGTCGCACCTGATCGGGCTGAGCCCGTCGCCCCGCATCTGCTCATCGCACCTGATCGGGCTGAGCCCGTCGCCCCGCATCTGCTCGTCGCACCTGATCGGGCTGAGCCCGTCGCCTCGCATCTGCTCGTCGCACCTGATCGGGCTGAGCCCGTCGCCCCGCATCTGCTCATCGAAGCTGGACGGGCTGTCGCCCGTCGCCCTTGCAACAGCGGGGGGGTGCAGCAGCGAAGCGGAAAGGGGGCAGCGGCGAAGCGGAAAAGGGAAAGGGGGGGTTGGTCGCGGAGCAACGGGATTGCAGCAGCATATCGAGAATTGATAAAGATTTCGGCGATCAGATTTCCTTCTTTATCGGCCGTTTTCGCTCTCCGAGCGTTGAAAATCCGCAAAAGAAAATCTGGTTTTTCGCAGAGCCCGTGCTGCGCGCAGCTCATTCGCAAAAGTCGGCGAAGTGCCTATCGGCGACTTAAGAGCTGCGCTTCGCGCGGAGCTAGGGTCCTTGGAGCATCATGGCGTACCCTTCCGCGTCTCTCTCAAACCCGATCACTCCCTTGCGCCTCGACCCAAATGGCTCAAGCCCTAACTTCAAGGAGTGGAGCTATGGGGTTGACAAGCATCTCTTAAGCCGCAAGATTGAGGGGATTTGCCTCAAGGATGTCCTCCTCAATCGCGGCAAAGGAAAGATGCCGATCCTTCCCAAGAAGCTCTCAGCCACGGCCACAGAGGAAGAGTCAAAAGCGCATGAGGAATCCATGTCCAAGTATGACGAATCTTACAGCGTGTGGGAGCAAGCCGACGCCGCTATCATTGGCATCTTCGTCGGCACTACCCCTTCCGAGCTCGTCAAAACCTACCATAACTACCCCTCCGCGCACGCCATTTGGGAGTACCTCAACGACCGCTTCCTCAACAAAACCGCTGTGGGGGTGGCGATACTCATCCCCCGCATGTTTCAAGTGCGTCTGGAGGAGTGCCCTGGAATGGCAGATTACGTCGCTGAGATTCAAGGGATTCATCAGGAGCTGAAGCAACTCGGCATTGTCTTCCCAGAGCAAGCCCCTGCAGCAGCTCTGCTTGTTGGGCTAACCCCCTCCTACAATGTCACCCGCTCCATGCGTCTCCATCTCCCGCCAGAAGAGCTAACCTTTGCCAAAGTCTCTTCCGCACTTCTCTCTGCTGAAAAAGACAACACTGCACAGGCTCGTGCAAATGCGCTTCGCGCTCCTGTCCCGGCTCCAGCATCGCGTCCCAATCCGCCACCCACTCGTAACTGCTACCCACCCTGTCCTTACGTCATCAAGATGGGACCCCGTGCGGGTCAGGTGTGCGGCGGCACCAATCACCCGCTCGCCACCTGCTTCAAGAAGAAGGACGACGACTGGTTCGCCAAGAATGGTATCAACTCCAAGCCGCCCAACTGGCTTTGCATGCGCCAGCTCAACCATGTTGAGGCACAGGATAGTCAGGACTCAGCCGTTCATGCCCCTAGTCCTGATGTTCGTCTCAACCTGTTGTTCCCTGGCCTTCCCATGATCAATGAAACCAGTTCCCAGTACTCGGCGTCTCCACAAACACCATCCAAACCACTTGAATTCGTCCTGGACAGCGGCGCAACCCACACAGTCCTCCGAGACAAAGAGTCTTTCAAACCATACCAAGCACCCATTCCTCTCCTGGGCGCTGACTCCAGCTTCTCAACTGTTGCCCATGGTTCCTCCACTCTTCCATGCCCAGCCTTCCCATCTGGCACAGTCACTGGCCTATGCGTGCCCACTCTTCGGCACAACTTACTTGCACAACATGAGATTCAACGAGCAGGGGTAACCACTATCTTCCCAGCTCATTCCAATCATTGTGATCTCCTTGAGCCCACCAACAATGCCCTCCTTGCACGCTTCATACTGACCGCCAACAACCTCTACACACTCCAAGTACCTCCATCTTCCACTGAAACACACTCTACCTCCACCACATCATCATGCTCCTGCCGTCAACTCACCGACCCAACCATTCTTTACCACCATCGTCTCGGACATCCCAACTTCCGCATGCTCTCCGAACTTGCGTCTAAGAAGTTGCTTCTTCACCTGCCCGACACACTTCCTCCACCCGCCACTTCTCCCGCTCCTCCATGCTTGGACTGCGCGCAAAGTAAACTACGCCAGCTGCCTCACCCTTCCTCGCCCTCCGCTGCAGACGCCCCGCTTGACCTCGTCCACATGGACGTCTGGGGCCCAGCTCCACTACGCTCTCGTAGCGGGCACTCTTACTTCCTAGTGCTCGTTGACGATCACTCTCGCTATGCGTCCGTCCACCTCCTCTCCTCCAAAGCAGCTGTTCCCGATGTCGTCATCGCATGGATTCGACAAGCCCAAAATCATTTCCGCACTTCAGTCAAGTGCCTCCATTCCGATGGCGGTGGCGAATTTCGAAACCATTCCCTTCAAGCGTTCTGTGCCTCCCAAGGCATTCGCCATACCTTCACCCTTCCCCACAGTCCGCAGCAGAATGGCATTGCTGAAAGTCGCAATCGCACTCTCGTGCAAATCGCTCGCTGTCTTCTCACTCACGCTGGTGCACCACCTTCACTTTGGAGTTACGCCCTCCTTCATGCCACGCTGCTGTACAACCTTCACCCTCACCCTCTTCGTCCTTCCATCACTCCCGCTGAACTGTGGACCGGCACCAAGCCCAGTGCACGTGCTCTCCGCGTATGGGGGTGTACCGCTTATGTCCTCCTCAACCCTCAGGAACGTCGCACCCATGGCGGCAAATTTGCACCCAAAGCTCAACCCTGTGTCTACCTCGGCCACAACCTGGACTCTCCCGATTACCTTTTCCTCAATCCCTCCACCAATCAGCTCATTCGTAGCCGCGATGTCGCCTTTGACGAGAGTCGTCCTTTTTACCTCTCTTCACCACCCACCACCGCTCCACCTTCGCTTGTGTGGGCCGATTTCAATACCTCACCCTCTCCACCTCCTCCCTCTACCGCTACTCCTGCGGCCCCCTCACTCTCACCTCCACCATCTCCTTCCACTCTCTCTCACCCCTCTTCGCCCACTGGCTCAGTTGCCCGTTCACCTCCGCCTGCGCCTGCACTTCCCCCTGCACCGCTCCTGCAGCTGCCCCTCCACCTCCCTCTCCTTCTGCGCCTCCCCCTGCCCCTGCACCTCCATCACCGCCTTCACCTCCGCTTCCGCCTCCAACCTCGACCTCTCCTCCTGACTCGCCCATCACCTATCGTCGCCGCCGCCACGGACGCTCTTATGTCGACGTCCCACCTGCTCCCCCACCACCTCCCTCCTCTCCTGTCCCTATTGCTCACCGCACCCGCTCTCATGGTCCCGCTCCGCCTCTCGCCCTCTCTGTTCGCATCTCCCTCCATCCGCCTCCTCCTGCCGGGGGTGCATCCATGCCTAGCCTCTTGGAGGATAGGCATGAGGAGCTGATTGAGATCAATGCTGCCATCCGTCAGCTCTGCCATCTTTTCCCCGATCTTGCCGACTCTCCAACTCTTAACTTCTCGGAAAATCCATCGATTCCAACCCCGAACTCGTATGATGAAGCCATCTCCGGACCACACTCCCCCAGTGGCTCGCAGCCATGATCGCGGAGTGTGAAGCATTCATTCGCAACAACTCTTTCACGGACGTCTCTCCTCCGCGAGGAGTTAACATTGTCCGTGGCAAATGGGTTTTTCGCGTCAAGCAGCTGCCCGGCGAACTCCCAGTCTTCAAGGCACGATACTGTGCAAAAGGCTTCACGCAGAAGAAGGGCCTGGACTTCTTCGACACATTCTCTCCGACAGCCAAACTGCCCACGCTTCGGACCCTGCTGGACATCGCTGCTCGATGCAACTTTGACATTCACTCCATGGACGTCTCTGCTGCATTTCTCCAAGGGGATCTCCCCGAGGACATCTACATGGAGCGTCCTCAAGGATTTCCCTTACCCTTTCCACCCGGCACGGTCTGGAAGCTGAATCGACCAGTCTACGGGTTGAAGCAGGCTCCTCGGGAATGGCACAAGAAGCTGAAGGCAACCCTCGAGTCACTCGACTTCCACCCCTCCTCAGCCGATCCGAGTCTCTTCATTCGCAAGAACGAGAACCCGTTCTTCATTCTCGTGTACGTTGACGATATGATTCTCGTCTCCAAGAACTCCGATCAGCTGGCAGCTGTTAAGCAAGCTCTTGGGGACGCTCTCGCCATGAAGGACCTCGGGGAACTCAAGAACTACCTTGGGATGGAAATCTCGCGGGATCGCGAAGCTCGAACCATCACTCTCTCTCAAGAGTTCTATGTGAACAACATCCTCAAGCGTTTTGCCATGGACAACGCCAAGCCAGTGGCCACTCCCCTTCCCTTGCAGCATGATCTGACCACTCCATCAGTTCCATCGCCTGAGCCTTGTGATGAGGCATACCCCGAGCTCGTCGGATCACTCATGTATGCGATGATGTGCACAAGGCCCGACCTCGCCTACCCCATCAGTGTGCTCTCGCGTTACGTTGCTACCGGTCGACACACCAATCGCCACTGGTCGGCTGCTAAGCGCGTCCTTCGCTACCTCCAAGCCACCAAGGACTACGTCCTCACTCTCGGTGGCACGACCCCTCCTCACCTCAAGGGATACAGCGACTCCTCATGGCTGATGATCAAGCTGACCGCCGCTCATCCCAAGGCTATTGCTTCACCCTTGGCAGTGGTGTCATCAGCTGGCGATCTACACGCTCATCATCTGTCTCATTGTCATCTTGCGAAGCTGAGCTATACGCAGGCACCATGGCAGCCCAAGAAGCTCGATGGCTTACCTACCTCATGGCTGAGCTCGGGTATCCTCAGCAGACCCCGACTCTGTGGTGTGATAACAAGAGCACCATCCACCTCACCAAAGACCCTGTCTTCCACCAACGAACCAAGCATATCGAATTGAGACACTTCTTCATGCGCGAGCTCGTCCAGCGAGGGCAGTTGTGCGTCAAGCATATTTCCTCTGACTGCAACCTCGCCGACTTGTTCACGAAGGCTCTTGGACGCCGTGATCACTATCGTCTCCTCCGTACCATGGGACTTGGTGTCTCTACGGCTTCCGACGTTGCAGCCTAGGGGGTGTGTTGGAGATAGGCTGCAATTCGGTTAACACAACTTTGTGTGTTGGCACTTTGTTGGTTTTAGGGATACACAAATTTGTTAGGTTGGGTGTAGCAATGTTTTCATCCCCAACCTATCCCAACCCAATCCATCCCAAATCCCCACGATTTGGGAGGATTCCCTTGGGATTCCCTTCGATTCTCCCTTATCCCTTGCCATCCTCTCCGATGCTCGATACTTAAGGATGTATGCTCTTGCTCATTTTAATCAATCAAGTTCTCAGTTTCTAATATCTGTCTCATGGGTCTGGCTCATGGGTCTGGCTCAAAGGTCTGGCTCAAGGGTCTGGCTCATGGGTCTGGCTCATGGGTCTGGCTCATGGGTCTGGCTGATGGGTCTGGGTCGTGGGTCTGCGTCATGGGTCTGGCTCCTGGTTCTGGCTCATGGGTCTGGCTCATGGGTCTGGCTCATGGGTCTGGCTCATGGGTCTACCTCATGGGTCTGGCTCATGTGTCTGGCTCATAAGTCTGGCTCATGGGTCTGGCTGATGGGTCTGTGTCATGGGTCTGGCTGATGGGTCTGGCTCAGGGTTATGGCTCATGGGTCTGGCTCATGGGTCTGGCTCATGGTTCTGGCTCATGGTTCTGGCTGATGGGTCTGGCTCATGGGTCTGACTCATGGGTCTGGCTCATGGGTCTGGCTCATGGGTCTGGCTGATGGGTCTGGCTCATGGGTCTGGCTCATGGGTCGGGCTCCTAGTTCTGGCTCATGGGTCTGGCTGATGGGTCTGGGTCATAGGTCTGGCTCATGGGTCTGGCTCATGGGTCTGGCTCATTGGTCTGGCTCATGGGTCTGGCTTATGTGTCTGGGTCATGGGTCTGGGTCATGGGTCTGGGTCATGGGTCTACCTCGAGGGTCTGACTCAACTGTCTAGCTCATGGGTCGAGCTCATGTGTCTGGCTCATGGGTCTGGCTCATGGGTCTGGCTCATGGGTCTACCTCATGGGTCTTGCTCAAGGTTATGGCTCATGGGTCTGGCTCATGGGTACGGCTCATGGTTCTGGCTCATGGTTCTGGCTGATGGGTCTGCCTCATGGGTCTGGCTCATAGGTCTGGCGGTCGGGGTCATGGGTATGGCTCATGGGTCTGGCTCCTGGTTCTGGCTCTTGGGTCTGGCTCATGGGTCTGGGTTATAGGTCTGGCTCAAGGGTCTGCCTTATGGGTCTGGCTCATGGGTCTGGCTCATGGGTCTGGCTCATTGGTCTGGGTCATGGCTCTGGCTCATGGGTCTGCCTCATGGGTCTGGCTCATAGGTCTGGCGGTCTGAGTCATGGGTCTGGCTCATTGGTTTGGCTCCTGGTTCTGGCTCATGGGTTGGGCTCATGAGTCTGACCCTTTGGGTCTGGCTCATGGGTTTGGGTCATAGGTCTGGCTCATGGGTCTGGCTCCTGGTTCTGGCTCATGGGTCTGGCTCATGGGTCTGGGTAATAGGTCTGGCTCAATTGTCTGGCTTATGGGTCTGGCTCATGGGTTTGGCTCATTGGTCTGGGTCATGGGTCTGGGTCATGTTATAATCACAATAGGCTTAGATATGGCTATCATGAGAGATAGAGAGCACAGTCGGATGTCCGGTCTTCAAATATTGATAACGATCTGGTCGCTGAATCAAACTGTGATCTGTAAGTTGGATCTAGAGCGCGTTGCTGTCGTCTATCCGCAGCAAGTTGAATCATAATATTCTATGAAGATTTGACGACGCTATGGCGGTTTGACTGGCAGGAGGTATAGCAGCCATTATAGTCTTGGAAGTACAAACTTAGCAAGAAGAGTTCGAGAGGGAGATGGTTCCCAGCCTCTACATACCACAAGAGCCGAGGTCCAGGTTGGTGGTACACCACCACAGAGTCCCCAACCATGAAGAGTCTCGAAAACAACCCTCCAAGGGGCTACAACAAGTGAAATGTAACACTTCACGAAGTAACGTTACTATTTTCACTATTTAATATTTATCCGCGTCCCTTGGGCTTGAAATCTTGAGCTCTTGTTCTTGGATCTGCAAGATAAATTCTTCTAGAGTTGATGGAGGCTTACTGCACACACCTGCGACACCATTGACACTTCACACTCGACAAAATAGAAAAAACACATGCGACACACAAACGACGACTTGACATGCGAGTTGTAAAAACTCGCTAATGTCTTGACCGTCACAAACCACATTGTGATACACCATTCAAACACACACACAAGCACTGGATAGCAATGACATAGACTCACAATTCATTCCATGCCATGCATGCACACACACAAACAAGGACAACAAGTCGAGTGCAAGCCATAGGGTTGCACCAACAGGTCATGGGTCTGGGTCATGGGTCTAGGTCATGGGTCTGGCTCATGGGTCTGGCTCATGTGTCTCGCTCATGGTTCGAGCTCATGTGTCTCGCTCATGGGTCTCGCTCATGAGTCCGGCTCTTGGGTCTACCTCATGGGACTGGCTCAAGGTTATGGCTCATGGGTCTGGCTCATGGGTCTACCTCATGGGTCTGACTCAAGGTTATGGCTCATGGGTCTGGCTCATGTGTACGGCTCATGGTTCTGGCTCATGGTTCTGCCTGAAGGGTCTGCCTCATGGGTCTGGCTCATAGTTCTGGCGGGCTGGGTCATGGGTCTGGCTCATGGGTCTGGCTCCTGGTTCTGGCTCATGGGTTGGGCTCATGGGTCTGACTAATGGGTCTGGCTCATGGGTCTGGGTCATAGGTCTGGCTCAAGGGTCTGGCTCATGGGTCTGGCTCATGGGTCTGGCTCATGGGTCTACCTCATGGGTCTGGCTCATGGGTACGGCTCATGGTTCTGGCTCATGGTTCTGCCTGATGGGTCTGCCTCATGGGTCTGGCTCATAGGTCTGGCGGGCTGGGTCATGGGTCTGGCTCATGGGTCTGGCTCCTGGTTCTGGCTCATGGGTCGGGCTCATGGGTCTGACAAATGGGTCTGGCTCAGGGGTCTGGGTCATAGGTCTGGCTCAAGGGTCTGGCTCATGGGTCTGGCTCCTGGTTCTGGCTCATGGGTCTGGCTCATGGGTCTGGGTAATAGGTCTGGCTCAAGGGTCTGGCTTATGGGTCTGGCTCATGGGTCTGGCTCATGGGTCTGGCTCATTGGTCTGGGTCATGGCTCTGGCTCATGGGTCTGGGTCATGGGTCTGGGTCATGGGTCTGGCTCATGGGTCTGGCTCGAGGGTCTGGCTCATGTGTCTGGCTCATGGGTCGAGCTCATGTGTCTGGCTCATGGGTCTGGCTCATGGGTCTGGCTCATTGGTCTGGGTCATGGGTCTGGGTCATGGGTCTGGGTCATGGGTCTGGCTCATGGGTCTGGCTCGAGGGTCTGGCTCAAGTGTCTGGCTCATGGGTCGATCTCATGTGTCTGGCTCATGGGTCTGGCTCAAGGTTATGGCTCATGGGTCTGGCTCATGGGTCTGGCTCATGGTTCAGGCTCATGTTTCTGTCTGATGGGTTTGGCTCCTGGGTCTTGCTCATGGGTCTGGCTCATAAGTCTGGCTCATGGGTCTGGCTGATGGGTCTGGGTCATGGGTCTGGCTGATGGGTCTGGCTCAAGGTTATGGCTCATGGGTCTGGCTCATGGGTCTGGCTGATGGGTCTGGCTCATGGGTCTGGCTCATGGGTCTGGCTCCTAGTTCTGGCTCATGGGTCTGGCTCATGGGTCTGGGTCATAGGTCTGGCTCAAGGGTCTGGCTCATGGGTCTGGCTCATGGGTCTGGCTCATGGGTCTGGCTCATTGGTCTGGCTCATGGGTCTGGCTTATGTGTCTGGGTCATGGGTCTGGGTCATGGGTCTGGGTCATGGGTCTGCCTCGAGGGTCTGACTCATGTGTCTGGCTCATGGGTCTGGCTCATGGGTCTGGCTCATTGGTCTAACTCATGGGTCTGGCTCAAGGTTATGGCTCATGGGTCTGGCTCATGGGTACGGCTCATGGTTCTGGCTAATGGTTCTGGCTGATGAGTCTGCCTCATGGGTCTGGCTCATAGGTCTGGCGGTCTGGGTCATGGGTCTGGGTCATGGGTCTGGCTCATGGGTCTGGCTCATGGTTCTGGCTCATAGTTCTGGCTCATGGCTCTGGCTCATGGGTCTGGGTCATGGGTCAATCTCATGGGTCTAGCTCATGTGTCTGGCTCATGGGTCTGGCTCATGGGTCTG